TAATATTATCATTACAATTTTGACTATACATTTAATTTTTAATTTTATTCAACTTTTTACTGAAATTTATAATCTTGCGAAAAGCAACACCGTTTGGCCGGAGATTCTCGTCCATAAATTTTTAAAGTCCTGGAGAGCTATTCTAATCTCGGTCACACAGATCTCCGGGATATCATCGGAATAGTGTGGGATAAGACTTGCTCTTGGATCAATACTCACACTTGCATGTGGCTCCAACGATGATGTGTACAGCTGCCCATAGAACCAACCACACCAAAATATCAGGTGTTCTGGAAACAATGCTGTCGCATTCGGTCTTCAGCTTCGACTATGAGTTCTTTCTGGCAGACAAATAACCAACAAAGACTTTGGAGCCCTGGTTCCGCTCGACCGCTTTTCAATATGAGTTGTATTGAAGTTGCGTATCTTCCGCTGCATCATTTGGAGATTTGTTTGATCAGTTGTCTGTGTGCTGTTAAATCTGCTGAAGGATGCAGCTTCATTTCCCGTCTAACAACCATGAGATTAAAAGTGTGATCATAGAGGTTTTACATAACTTAGTTGCAACTGCATGGACAGTTTTCACGAGCTTATCATTCATATCGTACACTATACTGCAATCTTTTAGGCACTGAAAACGGTTTTGTAATTCGAGCTGAAAGTTTTCGGGACTTTGGATTGGAGCACAAGGGGACAGAGCGTTGACTTCATTAGACGCGACCTCTCCGACCTAACGTTTAGGTTCAGTGTGCCACTAACCATTCGGTGATCACTGCCAGTTTTCACTCTCGCGATCACCGAGGCATAACTGAACAGTTGCCCTCGATTCGTCATAATGAAGTCAATCTCATTCGCCTGTCATCCTTTAAAAGTTCATCAAAAGAGTCCTTCTTTCTTGAGACTGCTGGTCTCGTCTTACTCCTCTTCACACACCTTTCCACCTTATAGTTTTTTGAAGTCTTCAATTAACACCGTTATTATGAATGCGTGGCTTCAGAGATATCCTCACACATTTTTTCTACCTCCTCATCTGGATGTGTCGAAGTTGGTGTGTAAGACCTTCAAGTTGGTGTTGGTGCTGTAAGACCTTCAACGAATACCGTTTGGTGATTCTATAAGTATAAGGTATGCAACCCTCGCCGATACACTAACAATCTTTACAACGTTGTAAACGAGAGACTTGTGCACGAAAAATCCGACACCTCCTTGGGACAGATGGTTGCTCCACGGTGATAGAACAAGTTGCCGGATTCGATGATTACCGTATCCTCCCCCTTTCGTTGGACCTTAAGATGATCTTATAATATCCCAGCGCAACTTGCTATCTATCACGTCTTTCAGCTCCAGGATCTTCTCGTCAGTCTCCAGAATGCGTGCGTTAAATGTTGCTAGGTTGAGTCGTCTTAGGTGGCAACCAAACCTCTACCGGAGATTCTTAGCACCTCCTGACCCGTTGTTACCATGACCAATACCGTAGCTAGGAATATAATATAATGTAGTTCTATTCAAATAGCGACGTAATTACTGTAGATGTTATGGTGTATGAGACTTAATAACAGTTATGAAGGTTTTATTACAATCATCTACAAAAGATTAATCTTAGATCACGATACCTAAGCAATTCGAATTATTGCTCTAATATTCTTAATCGCTTCGAAAATAGAGTATTAATTCTCGAATATATTTTTGTGTCAAGACTTAAGACGGTGAAGATAATGGATATTTTCTAGTAATTTCTGTTAGTTACGGTAATATGTAGCGTCGATATATATAACTATATTTGATTTTTATTTTCTGTGAACAGTTTTCGTCTATTATACTTTCAAGGAAAAATTCTTATACATGTATTTGTCAGATTTTAAGAACTTGCTGAATTTAAGCAATTTAAAAATATTTTTATATATCAATAATATAATGTTTAAGTTTTTATTTTGGTAATGTCTTTGCCATACTTATGTGTCCCTTTTGGATCAGACAGAATGTTTTCTCGCTTTTAAATGTTCAGATTTTATAAAATAATGTTTTTGTATATTATATCGTATATTGTATTTACAAGAGGGCGCTTTACCTTTTTCCCTAACCTTTACCCTAACTTTTAGTGTGTTAATAAAGCAAATAAATTGAAGTGAACAGAAAAACATAATTCAAAGTATTGTTTTTATCTCAATTAACATGGAATTATGAAAGTGCTGTGGAAAAGAACGATACTAAGTGCAAAAACTGAAGCGAAACAGTACAGTGACTCTTTTCTTAAATTGTGAATATATTGCATAACAGCAATACTGAGAGAAGAATCATCAATTCTACACTAGGAATATGATAACCGAACATGCACAGATACAATTTTTTTATGAAAAGTTGGTTTTTTTTTTTTTAGTAAGGAGGGGGAGGCACTTATTTGGGGGAAATAAAAAAACCAAAAAACAACAAAAAAACCAAAAATAACAACTTTAGAAATCTTTTCCTGCATAGAGGATATATTATACAGGTTAGTTCTGTACATCTTTTTTCACCACTTCAAAAACATAACCTCAAAGTAACGAAAAATATCTCAAAAATTCGTCGTCATTACCACCAGGAACCACCAGGTACCAGACCATCTTCATCTCAATCTCAGACTTGAGTTATAATCATCGCAGCTCGTTTATGCACCAAAATAGTGCAACATATATACCACATCAGTATATACCACTAATTATAAAATAAATAAATAAATAAATAAATTCTTTTATTTTTGGGTAATTAATAATCTAATTTATTGGCTATCTTTGTGTGATTCACCTCACCCTGGATACTAATAGGACGACCCGCTTTAGGATTTAATTTCTTCACCTCCTTCCAAAATTGTCCAAATTTTTTCGATTTATTATTTCGGGCCAATCTTTTCTTGATGGTTTTGAATGAATTTAAGTGCGGATTTAAATTCCTTACGAGCAGAAGACATTTCATTATAATAATAACCAGAAGATGGTTTGCCAACAGCAACCCAGACACTAAACTTTAATCTAGCCTTAACATGTAGACGCCTCACGTGATAGTTCCAACCAGTCACAAATGGCTTTTTATCTTTTATTTGCCTATAACTATTCTCTGCACTAGTCTGTAATATCTTAATAAAATTATTATAAAATTCATTTATTGAAGTACAATGGTCACTATTCTTACAAACTATATCACAGTTACACATAATATTATTATTAAAAACATTAATTTGTCTTAAAAGATTATTTAAATTAAAATCGCATAAGGTACTATATTTCCGAATTTCCGCCGAGTCTCTATTGTCCCATACTATCTTTGGCTTGTTACTAGTTAAATTAGTCACTTCTATAAGTATAATTGTATTAATAGTCCAATGAACAAGTAACGGAAAGTGATCCGACGAGTAGACGTCATATAATACACACACACTACTCACTGCGCTAGCGGCGGCCGCAGTCACGATGCTGTGGTCGAGCCATCGACATGTCCCGTGCGCATCGCTTACAAACGTGCTCGTGTCGGATTCCTTACCTAGAACATCGATGTCAACACAACTTAATGACTGCTCATGACAGTAATTTAATAGTTCGTTTGCGAAAAGTAAATCCGGGTGGGCATTGAAGTCACCTAGAACAAAAACTGATTCTATATCCGCACTTTCTATCACTGCACTAATATTTCCTAAACAGGTTGTAAACTCCGCTAGGTTGTCGTCACTGTTCGTAGCACTTAGAACGAGCACATGTCTATTTCCTTGGCTTAGCTTCACAGTACACATCCTGTTATTATAGCAGGGTATGACCTCCGCACTCGGAAATATTCGCTTATTCCATAGAAGTGCTACACCACCATAGGGTCTTCCGCGGATTAGTCCTTCAGAAGGTGGTCAATGGCCGATACTCCACAAGATACAAATTCTGAGTCTATAGTATTAAGAAAACCTAGATCGTGTGGGAACAACCAGGTTTCCTGGAGCGCCAGCAAGTGGTATTTTTTACACAACTCTCTTATTTGAACAAGAGATCTTTTAACTGATTTACAGTTGAAGGAAATAAATGATATATGGGACTTATCCATATTGTTTATTAGTAATTTTGTTCTCATTCCTCGGTTCTCTTTGTACTGGGCGATACCCACGCTCTCTAAACTTTCTAAAAACAATTCCCGCGGGCCAAAATTGATCCCCCTCATCATTCAAAAAGAGATCAGCCTTATGAAGCGGTACTGTGATTTTAAAGTCATTAGAACTATTTTCGTACGTATTAATTTTAGTAACTACCGTTTCCAGTTGAGTCTTGTACTTAATAAAGCCAGCAATGTCATTCGCCGTACTATCTCTGTGTACTCGTGATATATATAGGGATAAGGTTCTTTCTGCTGCTTTGAAATAAAATTCGCTTATTGGATGCGCTTTTCCTTTTCTATTCTCTAGTCTCTTTTGACGTTTACTCGTCACTATAGTCCAGTTCCCCTCTTTTATCGGTTTTAGTGACAGAACGTGCGAATTGTTTACATTATCATTGTGTGCAGAAACGGTTAATAAATCGCAATCAAGCGCAAATTTAGGACCCAAGTTAGAACCGTCCGTAACTTTAGCATAACTCGGCTGACTGGACAATTGTTTAGAATCTGTGCCGCTGGCCTGTAGGACTGATTTATTGTTCGCTGCGCCTTGCGACGTCGTAGGTGAGCACGATGCCCTCACTGTGGGCTCTGGTGGAAGGGGAGCGGCCGGTGTGGACGCGTGCGAGCTTATCTTGGCTAACAGCGGTTTCTGTGCACTTTATTCTTAACTACCCGCCTTCCGGGAATTTTGTCCACACAAGATATAGGAGACGAATATTTATCACAGGTTGCAGGGTTAAACCCAATTCTTTTTTCTTGCAGCTCCTTCAATGCAAGCTTAACGTCAGCTAGATCTTTTTTGAGTGATTCCAGAGAGAAACTGTAGGGATTGGAGCTTGTGCGCAAAGCTGCGATCTCTTTTTTTAATAACGCCATATCCTTAAGGAACGTTGTCACATCGATGCCATCAAAAGTAACTGGCGTAACTTGTTTAAATCCTTTGCCACAAAAACGGGCAGGCAGTCCGGCTCAAATTCTTTTATTAGCTTTATTATTTCCTGCAGACTATTCTTCTCACTCCCTTCCTTACGCCTAGTAATCCTTTTTTGTGGGGCAAGTAATTTATATACAGTTTGTCTTGCGAACTCGATATCGTCATAGGAGTAGGCACTCAAACATATTTGTATAAGTCCAAGCTCGGCTAATGTGTCAACCTTGTTCGCCACAAAAGCTAGTAATTCATTGATCACCACTTCACAGTCTTTGCACTTAGCTACATTGTTGTCACTTATTACTTTGTCGCGGTCGCGAGAAGCTGGAGGAGAGCGTAACATCATGTAAAGCGCGCGCTGTCCGCGACCGTAATGTTAATTTTTTATTGATAACGAAATTAGCCATAACGCTAACGAATTAACAAATAAACGAAGTCTTGGCTACTCTAAGCTTAATCCGGAAAGAATTAGATGACCAAAAACACAATCAAGGAAAGTGGAATATAAGTCACAGAAAACGTAACAGAAAATATAATCAAAATAATTAATGAAAAATTAGATGCTTGGGAAGGAAAATATGAAAACTTAAAACAAAAAGTAGATAAACAAGAACAAAGATTGAATCTATTACAAAAACAGGTGAGAAAAGAAATGTGGTGATATTTGGCATTGAGGAACAAGAGCAACGTTACTCGGACCTGGAAAATATCATTATTGATTTCATATCTAATCTATCAATAATTATATCACGTAACGAAATCCAAGAACTAAGGAGGAGAATAGGAAAAAATCTGATAATCCTGACCCGGTTATATTATCACTCACAACTATGCGAAAAAAACCTTCAAACAGAAAAAGTTAGTGAAGGATACTAAATATTATATAAAAGAAGATTGACTGCCTCGTTGGTCTAGTGGTTGTAGTAGTGAGACTGCTGATAATGAGGTCCTGGGTTCGAATCCCGGGTCGGGCAAAAAAATTAATTATTGAGTTTTCCGTCAAGAAATTCTCAGTAGTTGCCCGGAGTCAGAAAGTTGGCGGTGTCTCACCCCAGTGCCTCGGAAAGCACGTAAAGACGTTGGTCCTGCACCTTATCTCTCTCCGGTCGTGTCGGTTTACCGTCCCATCGGATTATGAGAGCGAGTGAATAGAGAGTGCACCTGTGCTTGCGCATACACTTGGGCACTATAATCCTGTCCTGCGCCGATGGCTACTCTCCGTTGAGGCAGGCCGCCGTGGCTGAAATTCGGTGTGGATGACATTATTATTCAAGAAGATTACCCCCAACATGTTTTGGAAAAAAAAGAGAGCTAGAAGAACAACTAAAAACAGAAAGAGAGAGAAAGAAAAAAGAAAAAAAAACATTGACTAAATATGACAAATTGGTAATATACAAATTGGTAACTTTCCGTCCGTGAAGCTTGTTACAAACAGTTGTGTACTTCGCTGTTCCATTATTTGCAATATTTTTAACGTTTACTATCGTAACTATTGCAACATCCATAAGTAACAATTTTGTGTGACTAGTGCACCAAGTGGTTTTAAATCGTGTTTGACTGTCTCACTTGCGTCGTGACTAAGTGTCATATAACAAAAAGGACCGCTCAACATATTCGTAGCTTGATTTGGAAAGGACGACGATATGACGGTGAACATGCAGCGAACTCCCCCGAATCAATTTAAGTTGTATTCATCTAATCCGGACTTGTCAATCGCTTCAACTTCAACTGATAATAATATCTTTGTTAATGTGCGTAAACACAAACAACCTAAACCCGATGAGTTGAACTCAATTATGGATACGTTACAGTTGAAAATAGATAACCAAATGGAATCTTTTAAGGTTTGCATTAAGGTGGTAGTCACAGACTCTGTTAAAAATGCCGTAAATCTGGTACCATAAAAGTAAAGTAAAGTCTTTGCAAATTTCTCTCTCAGAGAGAAATTTGCAAATTAACAACATCCATTAACGATACCCTGAACCAATTTAATCTTCGGTTAAACGATATGTATGATTCGGTAAACTATATGAGTAATAGGCAAGATGCTTTTGACGCTCGTTTAAAAATGATGGAAAATGGCGAAAACCCCCCCAATCAATGCTGGAATCTAAAATAGACATGATGGAGCAACAGGTCAGGCAGTCTAATATAGAAATTGTCAATCTCCCAGAAAGTCGTGATGAAAATTTGATAGCTGTACTTCCAAAACATTGGCTCAATTATTAAGCACCCATAACAAAACGGATAAAAAAATCCCCACCCGAAAAATGGCATCGTGAAATTCTCCACCAAAATAATACGGGATAACGTGATTGCTGCTGCGCGGGTAGTAAAAAGGGTCAAATCAGATCAACTACTGATATCAGGTACCTCGCGAAATATTTACATCAATGAACATCTGACACCGAAAATTAGGAAATTATTTCTACTCAGTCCTGAAGTGGCCAGAAAAAACAATTACAAATTTATCTGGATTAAACATGGTACCATACTGGTTCGTCAAAACGACACTTCTCCCATATTCTCAATTCGTAGTGAACAAGATATTAATAAAATTAAGCCCTAATAATATTAAGAATTCACCTTATTGTTATGATAATTTAAGTAATAATTATTCACCATTGTCTAACCCACACGTTCATAATTCTACTCGTATATACATAATAAAAGTTTTTGTGATCTCATTGTATGATGGCAATAACAATTTACCTAAAAGTATTTGTCTATATCGCATATTAAATCATAAAAATCGTATTCAGAAAACTGTTAAACATAATTTTTCTTATCACATTTATCATGCCACAATATGCTCTGTGTTATTAATATTTTATTTATATTTCACAACATTTTCTATCCGCATATTGCACAGAACGGTTTTACTTACTTGTTATAATACAATAAATCAAAATTCAATTCTAATATGTTAACTGTATATTACCAAAATTGTCGAGGATTACGTACTAAACTGCATACTCTTTATATGAATATTATCTCTCATACATACGACATAATTGTATTAACGGAAACTAACCAAGTTTCCGTTAATACAATTATGCACGCGGATATCAGCGACAATGAATTTATAGACGATAGGTATCATATTTTTAGAAAGGACAGAAATCGTGCAACGACCGGCCGGCAAGACGGCAGAGGAATACTGATAGCGGTGCACCGTTCGCTTTGTGCTGTAGCCCGTCTTGAAACGTTGACGCATGACTTTGAGTGCCTCCCGTCTCTTGTTTATTTTTTATTACTGGAGTTATGCATTGCAAACTATGTTTATATTCTCTCAGCCGTCTATATCCCACCTAATCAAAATTTTGATACATATAATAGTTTTTTTTAATTTTATTACAAAACCAATTATCTGGATCGACTGCAAGTTTTATTATAATTGGTGATTTTAATCTGCCGAATCTTGGCTGGAATAATACCGGCCAGGCCAGATTTGAACTTGAATCCCTCATGCTGGTGCCTAATTAATTTTATATCACTAATAAACGGTCATCAGATGAACTATATTCTTAACAAAAATAACAGAATCCTAGACTTAGCTATAACAAATACAACTAAGTGCAGCCTATCATCAGTGACCTCACCGTTGGTACCTCCCGATGCTTTCACCCCCCTTTTGAAGTTTTCATTACTTTATCAGAATCACATAAATACCTAGAATGTAATATAAGATTTCGACAATGCTATAGATTGGCTAAGTATAATAAAATAAAAGATGAAATTATAAAAATCGATTGGGAAAATCTTTTTTTGGACAAAGATGCCGAAGATGCTGTTGCGTGCTTTTATGAGAAAATTTACAAAATTATTAACATGTGCCAATAAAAGAAGTCAAACCTAATCGTTTCCCTTGTTGGTTTACGCCTGAATTAATTTAGATATAAAATAAAAAAAACCGGGCTTAGACAAAAATGAAAAATTATCGAAGTGAATCGAATTACAATATCTTTTTATATACAGGAATAAATTCAAAATAGTTTCAGAGCGTTGCTATAATAACTATATTAGTAAAGTAGAGAGTTAGGGATAACAGTAAATTCTTTTGGACTTATTTGAAAAATCGTAAAAAGATCTCTGACATACCAAGTACTGTTAATTTTAAAGATAGGGTGGCTACAGGTCCCAACGAAGTTTGCTCAATATTCTCTAGATTTTATCATTCGGTTTTTGAGCCAACTATGGTCACTGATGACTTTGATATTCAAGATATCATTGTCGATGATACTAAAACACCTGATATTCTTATAAACGACATCAAACTCACAAAACTTGAAGTCACTAACCAATTAAAGATGTTAGATGTAACGAAGGGTGCCGGGGTGGACAATATCCATGCTTTTTTTTTAAAGCAACTGCTAAGGTTATTAATGAACCGGTATGCCTCTTGTATAATAAATATTTGCAATGTGGAATTTTTCCCAAAGTTTGGAAAACTGCTAGAATAGTGCCCGTACACAAAGTGGGGTCTAAGAAGAAAGAAGTTGAAAATTATAGACCCATCTCCATACTACCTACGTTAGCGAAGATTTTTGAACGATTAGTACATAACGCCGTTTATCCGCTTTTACGTAACGTTATATTGCCACAGCAGCATGGCTTTGTTAAGAATCGATCCACTGTGACTAATTTAATTATTTACTCGACCTTCCTATTTGAAGCTCTCGATGCACGTAAGCAAGTTGACTGTGTGTACACAGATTTTCGCAAGGCATTTGACCGCGTCGACCATAAGACGCTACTAGAAAAAATTGCCTATAATGGAATAAGAGGTAATCTATGGCGGTGGTTTAAGTCTTACATTTCAAATAGAATACAAAAAGTGGTTATTAGGGGTCACGAATCGGAATGTGTACCGATTACTTTGAGCGTGCCACAAGGATCATTTATTGGTCCTTTTCTATTTATAATATTTATAAATGACATTAATATGTGCTTCCGTTTAAGTAGGTTCCTTTTATATGCTGATGACTTAAAGGTATACAAAATTATCAACAACACTAATGACCATTTGGAATTTCAGGATGATTTAAACCGTTTCACATCGTACTGTAATAGAAATAAGTTTGAACTCAGTCTTAACAAATGTAAATCCATAACTTTTATAAAAAATAAAAAACCAGCTCTTGCATCTATTATTTATGTGGTACCCCCTTATCTCAAGAAGTAGCAATCAGGCATCTTGGAGTAACTTTAGACACTAAACTACATCTAAGTATACACATTGAAAATATTATTAACAAAGCTTATAAGATGTATGGTTTCGTCATCCGATCTGGTAATATGTTTAAAAATCCATTGACTTACTTACATCTTTATAAATCCTTA